TAACTGATTGAATACTCATTAGGTCATATTGGTCATAATTAAGTTTTACCATTGAGAAGCAAGACTTATTTTGCATTTCACTATTTATAAGATTCTGACGGTATGATGAACTTAGACAAAAATACCATGGTATGGTGATCACTGCTTCATTAGCGCTTACTAAATGTTTGGGTAAAAAAAACACAATATATTTCCCTATTTCACACAATGTATTTTATTTTAAGAAATATTTATAGTATTTTGTAGCCGTAAACATGTCAGGCTAAATAGTTTAAATTAATAATTGACTTCAGCTGTCTTCATTTCTTTACAACACAAAAAAACAACACTTACATAAACCTTGGGAATGGTTTACCATTTTAGCTGTATTAAAACCTAGACTTAAACCATGGCAAACCTCGAAACCTGTTCTCATCCCATACCTAGTCGCCACTTTCAAACCTGTTCAGATGAGGGCACTTCTCAGATCCCAAGTTCTCTTTACACTTTGAGGTTCAATGTTTCAATAATAAAAGCTTATGAATTTAGTTTAAATAGAAATCACTCACATTGCATATAGGCACACGTTCTAACAAGCACAGAGCCAGTTCAGAGAATAATTAAAGGAAATCGGGAAAAAGCTAAAATAATTCAATTTAAATGCAAAACTAAATAAAATGCTATTTTCGTACGTTAATTGAACCGTGGAGGTCGCACCAAACAATTCAAAATTATATTGAGCATTGTGACATCCTTAATAAAGTCAACCCTGAAATTAATTAGAAAATTCAGATTATAATTTAATGTTTAATAAATAATTTTATTCAACCAGCAAGTTTTTTTTAATAGGAAATGAGACTATGTACAAGAGCCATCATTGTGGGGAAAAAAAATCTGGTTTTGTATCTGAACTAATACTTCGGCAGAATTTGCCAGAGGTATGAAAAATTTCAGGCTTGACTGTGTATATACACACACACGCACATCACCATGATGGACACCATCCGCCACTCAGGGCTGAGGCCTGTTCAGACAAAGCCAGACTTGATATTCAAGCAAAACAACACCTTTCTATGAAATCCCTTGTATGAGGAATGAAACAATGTACTTTGACAGGATGCCACTTTTATTTAAATGCTAGATTGAGTTTTGAAATATTTAGGTGTCATTGAAAACTCAACACTATAGATAAGAGTTTAAAAGAATATGTGATTGAGTCACCCAAGACCGACCATAATACTACAAAAAAATAAATTAAGACCACGCCACCAATCCTGAATACAAATTTCTAGGGCTGCATATATATCCTTTCGGCGTTGATACATTGCAATGTGTGCATTTGAAACATTTGCAATGTGTGGCCATGTTGAGTTGGGATTTTAGTGGACCAAGAGCCACAGCTCAGAACACATGAGATTTGTGGAGTCGCTGCTGAGTTTAACCATAGCAGATTGAATGATGGGTGACTGTGTGAGCATTTCAAGACAATTCAAAGCATTTGAGCACTAGAAATAATAACATTTGTAGCTTTAGGAAAGAATAAAAGGGTTAGTTTAGCCAAAAATGACTCATCCTCAAGTTTATTCAAATCTTTAAGAGTTCAATGATTCTGTTGAACAAATACAACACATATATTTTGAAGAAAGCTGGAAAACATGTAATCATCTATTTAAATTTTATTTGTTTTCCTACTATTACAGTCAATGACTACAGGTTTCCAGCTTTCCTTTAAAAATATATGTTGGCGCAAATAGCCTTGTGGTACTGTGCGCTGACATATAGCACTGACGCGCTCACGGCGACCCGAGTTCGAATCCTGGTTTGAGGTCCTTTGCTGATCCTACCCCTCTCTCTACTCCCAATGCTTTCCTGTCTGAAATCTCTACTGTCCTATCATAATAAAGGTAAAAACACCCTAAAAAATAATTATAAAAAAAATAGATATATATTTTGTTTTTAACAGATTTTCAAAATATATTTTAAGTAATACACACTTTTTAAAAAGTAAAATATAGCTGAGGGCAAGTAAATTTATACACTGAAGTGTTATTTTAAATTTCATTAAACAATGTGGTAAATTACAAAGCATTGTTTATTTAATTTGTGTCTTTGTATTAGGGTTGCACGATATTGGGAAAATCTGATGTTGCAATATTTTTTTATTTTGCAATTTAAATATTGCAAAAATACAGATTTACAAGATAGTTTCAATGCCACTATTTGCTGGTTTTCTGAGGAGTCTAACAGTTTTACGTACAGAAATGTAATAATCACAATGCAAAAAATGCTTTTCCTACTTTGCTTTGTCTTGTTCTAATCCAAATATCTAAATATTTGTAGATCGTAAAGATTGTAAACATATTGTTTTGTTTTGAACTTCAGAAGAAGGGCTGGCTAATTTGGCCTGAAATCAAAACCTTGATTAATTGAACATTTTAACTTGATTAGAATTAATGAACAATTATGTTACCTATTTATTTTACATTTTTGTCTACATAGTTCAAGTTTTGTACGGTAAATGTTAACATTAAAAGTGAGGGACTTTTGAATGTAGGGTGCATTGCTTGATTTTAAAATAATTGAAGTAAACACACACGACCTACTATCTATAATTATTTATTTAACATCAACTCTGAACAATTGAAAGTTAAGTAAGTAGTCTCTGCGCCGCCCACCCTTGTCACCATCACCAAACCAACCAATCAAAAAGCTTGTTACATGTTGTTGTGACGTGTAGTTAAATTTTTTGAGAGGTGTGCAGGCATGTAAAGGCTGCGCTGGACTGTACGCATGCGCGTAGCATAAGTATAAGATCAGAAAAGTATAAATCATAAGAACATGGGTATAAATTATAGGAAAAGTATTGAAAAAAATTTACCTGGAAAATTAGATCGATTATAGATTCTGAATGCCGTTTTTGATTACTTTTCCCTATTTAGATGACATTTAAAAGGCAAAATTAAGAGTTTTTCCTTGAAACAATTAAGATGATCAGCCAGTAGGGTAAGTAAAATAATCTTGTTTTTGCTTTGAAATGTAAATATCTGCACTAGAAACAAGACAAAATGTTAAAAATAAACTTTTTTTGATTAATAAAAATTATTTGAATTTAATTTAATTGATTAAATACTGCAATTAAATGAAATTCTGTAGCTCCTAGTCAACAATAATACAAACTCAACATCGCATATATTGCAATCTAACTATTGCGGATACACACATTGCGACATCGATGCTGAAACAATATATTGTGCATTTCTACTTGTATTTTAATATCTATTTTTGTTATTGTTTTATTTTATCTAGATGTGCTCCCCTTAAAAATACTCAAATCTATCTAAAAGGATTTATTTCTACGTAGAGCTATTTAAGTCAGCTAGTCATCTAATATTTGTTGCAGAAAAACAAATTACCACAACATTCAAATATCCTTAATTTTTCAAATGGACTGAAACCTTTTTGGTTTGGTCAAACAGCAGTTTGCATTCTCATATTTAATTGAATTTAGCTCCAATAAAAACACACCCTATTCTTACTTAATCTTATATCTTATTCTTAATTAATCTTAATCTCATACATCACTTAAGTGCCCAAATATGACATGTAAATGCGATAACATATAAAAACATAAGTTTAACTTTATTTAACCACCACAGTGAGTTTAGTCTTTAAATTTTTGCCGTTTATTAAAATTCCTGCGCTATATATTTAAAATATAATCTAATTTAATACAACCTGCATATATTTTACTACGCAAAGGTCAGAATATGATGGTAAAATATTACATAATATTTTTGACATTTTCACCAATGTCATTTGAAATGCTTGATATTTAAAGAAAATTACATTAGTACAATGAATTTTACATTGACAAAAAGAAATGCATTTAGAAATATATTGGATATATTTATATTTTAGATATTTTGTGTTTTTAATACCTCAGACGCAATGAATTTGGTGTAAACAGGCCTTAACAGCAAAAGCTGAGGCTCAAATCAGACAGTAATGGCCTCACTCGTGTCATCTAGTAAATCAGCTCATTTACGTCAAAGACTTGAGGGGAAAAACAGGGATTGTAGATTAAGTTTGGCGATAAGCGAAGTGATGTATGGAAAAATTCTGACCATTAACTTCGCCTGTCTGCACTGTCGACAACACCTTCCATTTAGTGCTGCATTTCTCCCCGGCCCTTTCTCCACTGGCAGGCTAAATGTGAAAATCAAAGTGAATGACATTAGGTAAATAAGACAGCAGGTTGCCTTGGCAACAGGGACAACCCCCGATACCCATTCCTCTAGCCTACCCTTTACTTGCATCCAATTATAGGAAAGTAAGACTGGGTTATTGACAGATTGCCACAAACAGACCGCTGCACATCATTTTTGCACTGTAATTCCACATGAGCATGCTTGTTACAGAACCTGAGATGGATTCAAGCTGCAGGATATGACAGGAAAGAAACGAGAGAAACCATGGCACAAAGACAACGCCAACACCTCCATAAATATTTAATCATTTGTCAGCCGCTCGTTTGAGGGGAGAAAGCTGCGGATCTGCCAGAAAAACTGACCACTGTGAATCTTGCAGTTAAGATGCGGGAGCCGTTACCTGTTTGGACCATGTTGGCGTGCATTGGGTTTGCAATGAGAAGAGCGTGGTATAAACCAACGATGAGACTGAAGCTGACGCACCTGTTGCTAGTTCAAAGCTCTGAAATGCATTCAAGTGAGATTTCACGCAGTGTAAACATCCGATCCATTGCTATGACACTTAACGATTGCGGTGGGCGATACAATAAGACACCTGGAAATGCCTCGGGAACGCTTAAAAAAATAAATAAAGGACTACAGCGATGCAATAAATTCAGCCTGATGATTATTAAACACCCGTCTCTGCATATGGTCAATGCAGAATCAATACAGAGTAATGAAAGAGATCTAGTCAAAATGTGGGAGTGCGGCTTGAAGACACAAACCTGCAGAGAAGAAATTCTGCATTGGTGGAGTAAGTGAACGACTTACCAGTTTTTTCTTTGATCTCGCATAAAACACTGAAGAGAGCTGGCTTCAACCTGTGGCAGTTCAGTGCGTGTTTTCTGCAAGAGACAGAGAGAGAGGGTATGTGTTAGAAAGACTCTTGTAATGCAACGCAAATGCTCAAAGACCAACACATCGACCGCTATTTGCCCAATTTAAGCTTATTGGCATCTGTCGAACACTGCGCCCAATTAACAAAGTGCCCTCCTGTCAGTTTTGAAATCTACCAAAGGCCTTGTCAATGAGAAATAAGCACGCGGAAGGATATTCAGGGCCATTTATCCACGGATTTTGCATGTGTGTGTTATTTCAGTGCCGGATTGACTGAAGCATTGATTCAAATGAGGCCATGGCACAAGTAATGCTCCAACAAAAGACGTGCCCAATGCAATTTGCAAAGTTTCTCATCTTGTGGGTTGGCTCTGAAGGATGAAGGGGACTAGACTAGTAGATATCTACGTTACACGTTTGGATGTGTAGACTGCTAATATTAGTAATTAAATATTTTCAATCACTACTGGTGATTTTCTGCCACAATCAGAAAAAAAACGTACACAAATGTTTGATTTAAAAAAAAAAAAATGTACATTTGGATTTTATTTGAAACGAGTATTTCCGAATACACATTGCATGAAGCTAAAATCATGTAGCACTCAGTTCTCCAAATACGAATGCTCAGTTTTCTAACTAGTAAATTGAATGTCTCCTTTTTAAAAAAAGCTGCTAATGATTGCTTTGAAAGTTTACCTGACATAGTTACACCTAAACAGGTTGTGCATTTTGGCCATTCATTTACACAAGTGATTTGGTGGCCTGAATAAGGACAAACTTATTTATTTACTACTATTTAGCTTATATTCATGCGCTAGTACTTAACCAAATCAACAACACAGTAAAAGACAAACACTGACATTGCCAACTATGAAAATAGGATGGTCACTTCTGGCAGATTCTTGAGACAAGTTTGTTTAGCAAAATCTTTCCAAAATATTTTAAGCACATCATGTTCATACAGCTGCACTTAAAGTACACATTAGAGCTAAAAGCAGATGCCACCCTATGCTTTACAAACAGCTGTACTCTCCTTGCATCTAATTCCTTACAATCACCACTTAAACCTTAGGTTAGGGTTACAAATGGTAACTTCTAAAAAGCTAAGAAAGATTTAAACAAATTACAAGAGTGTTCATCATCTTGAGCAGGGTTCGAATTAATATTGTGAATATATGGTAAAAAAACTAGCCTTAGCCTAGTTATAAAATCTAAGCTCAGAATCATTATTTCATTTACTTTTCAACTTATTCCCTTTATTAATCAGGGGTCGCCACAGCAGAATGAGCTTCCAACTTATCCAGCAGGTTTTACGCAGCAGATACCCTTCAGGCCACAACCAAACATTGGGAAACACCCATACACTATGGCCAATTCAGCTTATTCAATACACCTGTACCACTTCTTTGGACTGTGGGGGAAACCAGGGCACCCGGAGGAAACACACGGGGAGAACATGCAAACTCCACACAGAAAGGCCAACTGACCCAGCCAAGGCAAGAAACCAGCGACCTTCTTGCTGTGAGGCGATCGTGTTACCCACTGCGCCACCATAATGCCCCAGCTCAGAATCGATTCTAAATAAATGATGCATTTTGAATTATATGTAAATAAATAGAATTGTTTTTATAAACGTTTTTTTCACCACCGCTCTACAATTCATCAATCGTCTTTAAACCAAGCAGGGGATTTAAGGTTACCGAAGACACACCAACAACCTTTAACATTCACCGCTGGATATGATTACAATCACAGGTGCAAACATCTCCTCAGGAATCAATCAAGATGTAATGGACACACTAAGACTAAGAGTCTTTAAAAAAAGCTCAGTGTCTGTAGATTGAGAAGACACAGCAGCGGTCTCAGCTCACTCCAGCTAAATGAGTAACTGACACATGGTCATCATTTGTCTTCAGGGAAAAGCATTCCACCTTTTAATGGTATTATCCAGCCCTTTTTACACCCCGAACGTGCTTAATTTATTGAGCAGGTCTGGAGAATATCAAAACAAGCGAGGACCCTCCGTCTTGCTGTGGAAACATTCTTCTCAAAGCCAGAATCATATGTGCTAAACCCAATCATCGATCATTTCAGGGCAGTCTCCCATCAGCAAACTTTATTTCCAGGCTCTGTAAGCTCTGATGCATAGGAAGCTTATCTACACACAGCCAGATTTTAGAGCTACTGTATTAGAGAGCAGATGAAGCATGCTTTCCAGGAGCATTGTTAACCCGTAACAAATGCCAATAATCGAGGTGTACTCGTTAAAGCGGTTCAGCTAACAGCTGGGATTAACATGCCACCTGAGCATGCAAAGCGATAATGCCACAATTCAAAAACACACCGTCACTTCCAAATACGCGAAAGGTGTTTACTATTGCTACAGGCTGCTGCAAAAGCCTGAATAATCTTTTAAAAAAAGGACTAAACTGAACACCACAACACTTAACTGCCTAATATTGCAGTTGGCCGCAACTTAACACTGTTAGATTGCTCCTCTTTCGCTCGAGGCAAACATATAACATGGGAAATCCCAAAAAAAACAGATTGTTTTTTGTGGATGAGGCCTTAAGCTGATGACACACAGTGCAATGCGTTGGGTAATTTTGTTGGAAATGGGCAACAGCACTAGCTTGGGCAATGCTGAACTGGTTACTGTTGATTACTTAGCTTGTTTTGTCATATTGCCTACTTTCCAACTGGCTCGAGTATCATCCAACGTGAGTTAGAGCAAAATCCTAGCTAAGACTTCATTTGATGCTTAAAATGTCCTTTGTTGGCTTTGACGCGTTCACACCCAGATATTTCAGGTATGTAGCATTCAATGCAAGAGGAACAAACATTTCAAGTAATGAGATGGCGTTCATGTAGGTCATTTCTTTATGCTTGAAAATTATTGCGACAAGCACAATTACAAAAAAAAAAACATCAAAAACTGACAACAGACATCACAAAGAGAAAACTAAACTTGAGTCTATAGATGGATGATCATGAAAAGACGTAATGTAAACTTTTACTAGGGTGTTTATGAAAAGGGCAAAGAGTTTCAGTTAATTGTAAGACTAAAATATTCATGTGGTGGTTGGTCGAGAGTCTGGGAGTCATGTAACTAATCAAGACTATCTGAAGAAGTGATTACTTTAAGTGCATCACTTATAAACAGAAAAACACTCCATGTTCACTTTACCTTCTCAAACACAACTAAACACATACCACAAATAATAACTGGCCAATATAGGCTACTAAACAAAGAGAATGATGGCATGCAATCAAACAAAGGAAAATTCAAGTTGCTTATGTTTATTATCTTTAAAGATAATTGGGGGCATGTTTCAAAACTACTGTAAAATGCACACTAATATTGAAAATTAAGGTTTAAGTTACAACAGAGCTGCTCTTATTTAAAAAATTAGTTTATAGTAATTAAATGAGGAATTTATACTACGAACAATGTTTTTGATAACCAAAAACAGTTAAAAACTACTGAAATAAATCTCCATTAAAAATGAACAACTAAAAGCGGTATTTGACCACAAGACTTTGCTACAACTGACCCAAATTAAAGCCCAATTCTATGAATGTGAATGCAAACGGCGGTTCTTTCTCAACTTGCTTTGCATTTTGCTTCATTCAAAGTGGTCTGAGTTTGGTTCTTTTAAGAAGAATTGCACATTCGAAGATGGTAATATTAGTTTAGCCCCGCTCAGGTCTTTAAAAGACTGAACTGTATTTTTCTCTTTGTCATCAGCATGGAGGGGATGATGGGGGAGAGAAGAGGAGGGGGGGTGCTCATGCGCTCCTGTACTGACCTGTGCTGGAAGTTGAGCGGCAGGGCACACCCTGCTGTGCTCCCCCCCAGCTCCCCCTCCCTCTGTGGGGTCCACTGCGCCGGTGCCTCCTCTGGCCAGCATCTGGACACAGGGCAACAGGGTGAGAGGCTGAGGGCAGTGCTGGCATCTGCCCCCACCGTCCCAATGACATCCCACCACATCCACCCCTCAACACTGGGGACTAGAGACCCCCACAGTAAATAATGCAGATCAAGAGAACAAAACAGAAAATCAAGTACCGTGGCATATGAGAATGAAATCAGTTTATTTATTTATTTATTTTTTTAAATAAAAGGCAAGCTAAAGAGTCAGTGTGAAAAGAAAATGATGAATAAATGATCAAGCACATAAGCACACATTGCTTTTAACTGGAAGCATTTTTGAATGGATGAAATCAGTATACTCTGAATGACCTTATATGCCAACTACTGCAAGGGACAACAACAGACCAAAGCAAGTTAAGAAGTCTTGTGCGTTTCATTTGTTTGTTTTTAACCGCCAGTACCAGGTCTTATTGCGCTCTTGAGCGAAGCACATGCCTCCACTCAGCAAATAATGCAGGTTTGGGACACATTATACTAATTAATTTAAGAGGCATTATGATGAGCCACAAATCCATTTAATGAGATACCACAACTGTGCATATTTCATTAGTATCAAATTAAGGGAATCTGTTTAAAAGGGACAGAGAAAAAATGCATTGTGAGTCCAGGAATGCTGACCACACTAGGTAAAATCCCTCTGAAGTGGAGTCAAGCTCTCTTCTCTGCAAATGAAGCTGCCTCATCTGCCCTAAAACCATCCCACACTTGACAAAATAATAATGCATATTTCTCTCAGGTATCTGAACTATTTCAGGTCTGTGCAGAAGCACCGAAGGGCTTTTTTTGCCTCATAACTGAAGGCGGCAAGTGCTTATACTCAAGAAAATCTGTAAGATATCGGTGACAGAGAAACAATAGCTAAAGAGAAAATCCATTTACGCCCATCACCAACTATTTCTGGTAATATCCTTAAAGTAAGAGTTCACCCAAAAATGAAAATTCATTCAGTTGTTTAGCATCGCGTTAATGAGATGCTCTGTTCACCCTTTATCATACAACTTTCCCATTTTCTCCAGCTGTCAATTCTACTTCACATCTGTAGATTCAAACTTGCCATATCATGATCTGTATCAT